CACATTGATACCTGATTGATACATATATTTTTTAAACTGGTTTTGGGTAGATTTCGGCTTGAATCACACTAAAATCAAAATGTTGACATTGAAATCTATTGATGCAATTTTGACATACGTAGTTGAGTTTGCGTGAGATCGCAATAAGCCATTAAAAATAAACTGATACATATGTACGTACATATAATCAGTGTCATTAGAGATTGATTTATTCTCGAGATAAATATGCTTCTTCATGTGTTGCAAATAAGTACAAAGTAAAATTTTCAATTATATTATAATTGGAAATTTTACTTTGTATTCGCAATGCAGGAAAAAGCACTCTTTATGCAAACTCGGGTTATCTCTGACCCACTTTCGACATACTAAACAAGGCAGAGTTGCTATGTATTAAAATTCGAAAAAGATCTCTGCTGTAAATATATAAAAAAACTCTAAGTATCAGATTAGATTTTTACTTAACTTCATTACATAGTATACCTCAACGAAACCTGCAATTTAAATAACAAATAAATTTTAAAAAAAATACCAAAACAAAGTAGACATACAAGACATTGCAGGAAAGACACTACCATGTATTGGAAAAATAAATCATCTTCGCAACATGTTGAATTGACTAATGCTGCTTCATCTAAAAATGATAAACCTTCAGTATTTGAATCCATCAATAAAAATCAACCTACAGCATCGAAATCCATTAGCTCATTTAATAAGACTCCTGTAGTAGTGCTAATAAGACTCCCGTAGTTGCACTAATAAGACTCTCCGTAGTAGTGCTAATGATGATGATTCTATATCATCATTAGATACACTATTAAAAACAGAAACTGTTAATTATTTATGCCTTAATACAACAAGACAATATCTTCGTCTTGTTAAAAAATCAATATTTTACTAAAATATATGTGAGTAAACTCTTGGCAGAAAGTCTTGGTAAAGATCCATAGTTTGCATGGCTTATTTGTACTTGGGCAAACCAATAGAAAGCTAATAGAAAGTTAATAGCGTCGAAGCGTAGCAAATACACAAAAATAAAATCTCTTTTATATAACAAACAATTCTGATTAAGCATTGAACAGTATTTGAAAGAAAATAAGTTTAGCTTAACTGTTCAAAATTTCATAAATTACATAAAAAATATCACTATTCCTGTTTTTGGGATTATGGAAAGAACAACTATTAGTAGATCAACTGTATGTAGATGGCTAAACTTACTTGGATAGAAATATAAAGACATTTAAAAACTATTTATAATAATGGTCATGAATGCGAAGATGTGGTCGAATATAGAAACTACTTTTTGCAAAAGATGGATGAATTATGACCACGAATGACCACTTATGAAGGTGAAAATTTAGATCAAGTTACCTTATCAATACTTTCTCCTGGTGTTCATGAAATAGTTCCTGTCACTCATGATGAGACTCCATTTTATGCCAATAACGGCATGTGCAAGGTTTGGGTCCAAAAGATAAAAACATGCTTTATAACAAGTCACAAGGACTTAGCATGCATATTAGCGATTTCATTTGTCAGTCAATTGGATATCTCAAACTTTCAGAGTATGAATGTCACATAAACGATCTGCTTTTCAATGATTCGTATATTAAACTTAAACATACTAAAGCCTGTGTTATTATTTATCCAGATTCAAATTGGGATAGTTGGTGGACATGCAATAATCTTATTAATCAACTAACTAAATATGCTATACCAATATTTGAATGAATGTATCCTAATAAAATAGCACTGTTTATGTTTGATAATCATGGTGCATTTGCTGATGATGCTTTATTGGTCTCACAGATGAATATGGGTAATGGTACTAAAATGTCACTTCTTCATAATAGCATTAAGCCAGATGGTTCTCCACACATAATGATATATATAGATGACAAAGGTGTGGTAAGACCTAAAGGAATTTGACGAGTATTTGAGGAATGTGATTTATGGATACAAGGTCTTATAAAACAGTGTAATGCATGCAAAAAAAATAGACCTGATTCGAAAGAGCTAAAATATTGTGCCACACGTATTCTTTCTGCTCAACCCAATTTTGCATCACAATGATCATGTATACAAGAAGTAATTGAAGCAGCTGGACATATATATATCTTTTACCCTAAGTTCTATTGTGAACTTAACTAAATTGAATCTTTTTGGGCTAAAACAAAACATGTTGCAAGACTTTATTGTGATTACAGCTTTAGAGACCTCAAAAGAACTGTTCCAAGAGCATTAAACTCTGTTAGTTTAATAAAGATTCGTCACTTTGCTCATCATTCTGAACACTTTATGAGTATCTATAAACTTGGACTTTCTGGAAAGGCTGCTGCCTTTGCAGTAAAGAAATATTGCTCTCATTGTTAAATTCTGGAAAAAGTTCTTAAAAAATTCGCACAAAACTAGGTTGCTTATCTATATATGAAATTTAATATAACCAATCAAATTTATTAAATATAATATAATAAACATGTGATAATTTGTTAAGCTGATCAAATTTATTAAAATCATATGATATGTATATATGTACATACATATTGTTAATTTTTAGATCACTGATACAAGATGCAAGAAGCGTCTATTTGTTTTTAAAAAATTTTACGTAGATTAATACATACATATGTACATGTGTTAAAATTTGTATATCCAGGTTTTTATACGTAATAAAATTAAACTGGCGGATATTCACACTACTGCTACATACTGATGAGTACTGATATTTTTAAATCGTATCTTTATTCTCTGTTAACACAAAACTAATTTATGGCATCAAAATATTCATGGGCAGTATATCTGAATTAATACGTAGAAAATATTCTTAATAATATAAAGAATAAATTTATTTTTTATATGCATTTTAAATGATTTTGCTGTCAAGGTCATCATCATTTTTGGAATTGTCGTTAATATTGAAGCTGAATATTATTATGACGAAGTAGTTGGAGTTGAAAAAGATGAACATAAGGCATTCATTTATTTTCAAAAATCCACAAAGATGGAGGACGCTAATGGAACATATTATCCAGGTAAGAGATTTAATAGAATTGGAGTTGAAAGGATGAACATAACTAATTCATCTATTATTAACAATCAGCAGAGATGAGTGATATTAGTGAAACATTTAATGTTAGATATTGCTATGATGAAGGAATTGAAATTGAAATGGATAAATATGAGGAATTTATTCATTTTCAGAGATGCGGAATGCTGATGAAATATATAAGTCCAGATAAGAAATTGTTGTTTAATAGAATTAGAATTGAAAAAGATGAATATAAAGCAATTGTTTATTATCTAAAATCAGTAAAGATGAATATTAAATATTGATATGATGAAGGAATTAAATTGAAAATAATGAACATAATACATTCATTCATTTTTAGAAATGAGAAATATATAAGATAATTGTTGTTTTAATAGAATTGAAGTTAAAAAGATTAACATAAAGCAATTATCTATTATCTGAAATCAGCAGGAATAAGTAATGCTAGTGGGAAGTCTAATGTTGGATACTACTATGATGAAGAAATTAGAGACGAAAAGGATAAATATAAAGCAAAACTCTATTTTCTAATATCAGCAGAGATGAATAACGCTAGTAAGACTTCTAATATTAAATATTGTTATGATGAAAGAATTATAGTTGAATAAATAAAGTACATAAATAATTGATAGTATTATTTTGTTCTCCAATATGCTAATAACAAATTTCTATAAAATCTAATTTCTATCGGATTTGAAAAGTGATTTCATTGCGCATAGCCAATATTAATACAAAAAAAGCATGAAAAAATTGATGATTTGGTAATAATATCAATTGTCATGTTAATTTATTTTAGTGATCAATAAACTTATTCTCATATATTGTGCTTACAGATTATTAAAAAACTCAGAAATTTTATTTGCATCATAAATATGCTTGACAAATAATATAATCAAGCTAAAATAGTAAATTTCTTATACAGCATTTGATATGAAGAAATAGTGGTATAACCAAATTTAGAAGATTAGTCAGAACTATGAGTTGGAATATACTGGAATAGGCTAGCATTGATATTATGTGAGTTTTTTTAATAGATTGGATAGTATTCAAAGAAGGAATAGCTATCTCAGAAGACAGCACAAGATAGACAAGTAGAAGTAAGGGTGCAGATAATTGCATTAAATAATTTCAACATAAAGCCACTTCTGAGTATATAATTGAGTAAATAGATTGGATAATATCATTAGAAGAGTGGTGATAGATTTTTAGTAACCTGTTTAGAAGAAATAGCTACTTCAGAAAACAACACAAAATAGACAAAATAGGCAAGTGGAAATAAGGATATTTATAATTGTATTATAGCGGTTTGCAAAAAGGTATGATCTGCTATTTTAGTAATGATAGTTGGAAATTTCAGAAATTCTAGATTTTCTATTAATTATATATTCGATCAGTAATACCTATATATATTTAGAAATCTGTATAACTCCCTTTGAATTGAAAAATCATCTAATTTCCCATGGTTTTATATGTCGCATCTTTTTGCAAACCACAGTAAAGAATTTCAACTTAAAGCTACATCTAATAAGATAAGTGCATTACTGAGTAGAGAAACGGGAATAGATTTTTAACAATTTGACTAGATTGAATCATACCTCAGAGAACAACAAGATGAACAAGTGCAAACAAGATATCGATAGTTGTATTAAAGAATTTCATGTTTTAAAATATGTGGATTTCTTTTAATAGATCAAATAGTAAATATTCATAAAATTGAATAGCTTATTTATATGTTTTGGTTATTAAATGTTCTTTTTAAGGGTAGGGTGTATATAGATCATTTTTTATATGATCTGCATTGCAAATTCTATTTTAGACAAAAATGAACACAAGCTTATAATAAAAGTTTTTTAAAATTTAATAAAAATTTATAAAATTTTTATAATATATATATT